GCCGGCCGCGGCGGCCATTGGAGAGTGAACCAACGGCAAAGGAAGACCTTTCTCTCTGTCTCTCTCTCTCACTGTCCACTCTGCCTGTCAAATAAATAAATAAATAAATAAATAAATAAAAAGACACAAATAATGGCTGGCATAGTGGTGCAGCGGGATAGGCTGCCACCTGAAATGCCAGCATCCCATTCTGGAGTGCTGGTTCAAGTCTCATCTGCTCCATTTCCCATCAGGCTTCCTGCTAATGTACCGGGAAGGCAGTGGATGAGGCCTGAGTTCTTGAGCCCCTGTCACCTATGTGAGAAACCAGACTGGAGTTTTTGGCTCCTGGCTTCCATTTGGCCCAGCCCTGGCTGTTGCAGCCACTTGGAGCATGAACCAATGGATGAAGATCTTTCTCTCTCTGTCACTCTTTCAAATAAATAACTCTTTTAAGAGAGAGAGAAGAGAGGAGGGAGAAAGAAAGAAAGAGAGAAAGAGAGAAAGAGAGAAAGAGAGAGAGAGAGAGAGAGAGAGAAACACAAATAGGTTTGGATTAGTCCACTTTTTGTTCATTAAACTAAAATACCTGAGAGGAGCTACTTAGGAAGATTTGTTTTACTTCCGTTTTGGGGGGTCAGAACCCAAGATCAGGTGAGCCGCATAGGTTCAGCTGTTGAGGCTGTGGGACAACAGTGGTGACACAGGTGGAACCAGGTAGCAGGCAGAGCAGCTAAGCCCAACCTGGCCCTTATAATCAACCCTGTGCAGAGAACTGCCTTCCAGGGACACACCCCCAGTGACATAAAGACCTCCCCCCTCGGGGCCCACCTCCTAGACACCATAATTTTTTTAATGATTTATTTATTTATTTGAGAGAAAGAGAGAGAAGTCTTCCATCTGTTGGTTCACTTCCCAAATGCCCATAACAGCTGAGGCTGGGCCAGGCCAAAGCCAGAAACCCAGAGCTTCAACTTGGTCTCCCATGTGGGTGGCAGGGACCCAAGAACTTGAACCATCGCCTACTGCCTCCCAGGGTGCACAACCACAGGAAGTTGGAATGGGGAGTGGAGCCAGGATTCAAGTCCAAGCACTCCAATATGGGATGTGGATGTCCCAAGCATCACCTGAACCAACCACCCGCCCCAGACACCATAATCACAATTAAATCTCCACTGTTTTTGGGGTTTTTTTATTTTTATTTTTTGCCAGGCAGAGTTCAGAGCTCAACAGTGAGACAGAGAGAGAGTTATAGACAGTGAGAGAGAGAAAGGTCTTCCTTTCGTTGGTTCATTCCCCAAATGGCCTCTAAGGCCAGCGCTGCACCCATCCAAAGCCAGTAGCCGGGTACTTCCTCCCTGTCTCCCATGTGGATGCAGGGACCCAAGCATTTGGGCCATCCTCCACTGCACTCCCAGGCCACAGCAGAGAGCTGGCCTGGAAGAGGAGCAACCGGGACTAGTACTCGGCACCCCAACCAGGTCTAGAACCCGGGGTGCCGGCGCCGCAGGCAGAGGATTAGCCTGTTGAGCCATGGCGCCAGCCTAAATCTGCACTCTTAATCCATTACCCATTAACATTAACTCATTAACCATTAACAAAAGACTTTGAGGACCAAGCTCCTAATACATGGGTCTTTGGAGGATATTCAATCTGTTATCCAAACCATAGCAAGGTGAAGGAAAGTAAAAAGCTAAACAAAATATACATGATACAGTTCAATTGTAGAGTAGGGTGACTGCGAATAATAATATACTGTATATTTCAAAGAAGCTAAAAGATTGTTTTCACCACAAAAAATGATAAAAAGTTGAGGAGATACAGGTTTACCCTGATATGACTATTACACAATATATACATGTATCAAAACATCACATGATACCTGATAAATATGGTCAATTTTTATGTGTGAATTAAAAATACATCGGGGCAGGTGTTGTGGCACAGCTGGTTAAGCCGCTACTTGGGCTGCCCGCATCCCATACTGGAGTGGTGGTTTGAGTCCTGGCCTCTCTGCCTCCAATCCAGTTTCCTGCTAATGTGCACCCTGGGAGGCAGCCAAGTGATGGCTCAAGTGCTTGGGTCCCTGCCACCCACACAGGAGACCTAGATCAAGTTCCAGGCCCTTGGCTTTGGCCTGGGCCAGCCTTGGCTGCTGGGGGCTTTGGGGGAGAAAACCAGTGGAGGGAAGATCTATCTGTGTATCTCTCTGCTGCTCTGCCTTTCAAATAATAATATGTGTGTGTGTGTGTGTGTGTGTGTGTATGTATGAATAAATACTGGGGGTGGTGCCGCGGCACAGTAGGTTAATCCTCTGCCTGCGGCACCAGCATCCCGTATGGGCACTGGTTCTAGTCCTGGCTGCACCTCTTCGGATCCAGCTCCTGTTATGGCCTGGGAAAGCAGTAGAAGATGGCCCAAGTGCTTGGGCCCCTGCACCTGCGTGGAAGACTGGGAGGAGGCTCCTGGCTTCAGATCAGCGCAGGATGGAAGACCTTTCTGTCTCTCCCTCTCACTGCCTGTATCTCTCAAATAAATAAATAAAATCTTAAAAAAAAAAAAAAAAGAAATATGGACTGAGAGAAGAGGCATCAGCCCTGCTTGAGCTGGAGAGAGGTGGGTAAATGGAGGCACATGAAGTAAATTCAGCAAAGCTGTAACCTGGGGTTGGGGAGGCACTGATCAGGGCCTGAAACACTTTGGGCTGCTGACCTTGTGTTTCAGAGGAGGGTGTGGGAAAGCTCATCTTGTAACACTGTATCAGAGAGGCCAAACTATCACAAACCAGGGAAAGATAACACGAGAACGAGGATGACTAGTGTTTTTGCACATCCAAGGTATGAAGGTGTATTTGCTTGAACAAGAGGGGCCCTCCCACTCCCCATTTCCTACGTCCTGGGCACTTGCCAAACCCTTGCTATAAAAACCCCAGGAAATTGCTTCTTGGAGAGGTAGTTTCTTCTCAGGAACTATAGCTTCCTGCTTCTGCCTTTATGGTCACAGCAAGGCTTTCCTTTGACAACTCCTGATTGAGGCTGATTACTTGGTGACACCCCCAAGAGAGGGACCCACTGTGTCCACTAACAAAATGTGAACTTTAAAATCTGGGGCATAGGCATTGTGGCACAGTGACTAAGCCATCACGCGGGATGCCCACGTTCCATAGCAAAGTGGGATTGAGTCCCTCCTCTGCTTCTGATCCAACTTCCTGCTGCTGCGCCTGGGGGGCAGCAGATGACAGCTCAAGTCCTTCAGTCTTGGCCACAGACGTGGGAGACCCAGGTGGGGTTCCTAGCTCCCGGCTTTGGCCTGGTCCTGTCGCAGCATTTGGCATACTCCCACCTGTCCCAAGTGCCTGACATCATGCTGCACATGACAACGAGCCCAGGAGTAGGAAGGGGTCATTTATTGCCCGGCTGGAGCAGGGCTACGAAAGCTGTGCTGAGATCTGCGATGTGATGGAAGCACTGGGAATGTGAAAGCAGAGACTCGGGGTTGGCTGGGGTGCGCCAGGTACTTGGGGGACCTCGGGCATGTCACACGCTGGCCGCAGTGTCCTTACCTACAAAACGAGCACAAAATCTGCTATCAAACAGCATTGCTGTGACAATGGAATTAACTTAAATGTGACTGTGAACGTGGTATATAAACGTCTTTAAAAAAAAAAAAAAACTTGGCTGTCAGTGTGGGCAATTGGTGCTGAGGTTAAGATGCTGCTTAGGATGTCCACACCCCATACCAGAGCACCTAGTTCAAGTCCAAGTTCTGATCCAACTTCCTGATACTGTGTCTGGGAGGCAGCAGATGACAGCTCAAGTACTTCAGTCTTGGCCACAGACATGGGAGACCCAGGTGGGGTTCCTAGCTCCTGGCTTTGGCCTGGTCCTGTCCTGCCCAGCTCCCCTTCTGATCCAGCTTCCTGCTAATGTGCACCCTGGAATACAGCAGATGATGGCCCAAGTACGTGGCTCCCTGCCACCCATGTGGGAGATCCAGAGGTTCTTCCCGGCTCCCAGCTTTGACTTGGCCTAGCCTTGGCTGTTGTGGGCATCTGGGAGATGAACCAGTACCCGGGAGATTCCTTTCTGTCTGTCTCTTTGCCCGTCAAATAAAATGCAAATAAATAAAGAAGAACTGATGAACAAAAGTGCAGCTACCGCTAAGCACTGACAGGATCTGCATGCAGTGAGTTTGAGATGGCTGGGGAAGAAATCCCTGAGGCTCTGGATATCATGGAGACACAGCCTTGGGCCCGGCCTTACCTCAGCTCCCTGACACCCATGATGGTGTCCACCACCCAGCAGGGGTCCCACTTGCAGCCAAGCCCTGGAGATGAAACCTGGCTGAAAACAGGATGCTGGCTCAGGGGTCAGAAGCCAAGGAGGAAGTAGTGGGCCTACAAGGCCGTCCTTTGGGACGGTGCAGTCATCCCAAAGGATGGTGGGAGGGAAGAATGTGGACATTTTCCAAGAAAATGTGGGCTGTAGGGTAGCTCTCTCTGCTGGGATTGCATGGGCCCCAGCACCACAGCAATCACCACTCTCTCTGGGGCCTGCTTCCCTTAGGGGCAGCCTGTTCCCAACAGTACAGGAGTCAGCCAAGCACATCACATGCTCTGCCCGCTCCTGCCCACAGTCACGTGGGTGAGGGTAGCATTCACTGGGACTCACCCAGCCTACCCCTTCCCCCTTCCCCCATCACACTAAATGCAAAGGCACACCCCCACCCCTGCGCAGGCGCAGTCCCAGCCCACTGTCCTAGGAACCCACTAGTGGCACCTGTGTGGTGTGCGATTACCTCCTGCCTATGTTTAATTCATGACTGGGGGTAGATATGAGCTGCCTAAGAAAGGAAAGAACTCCCCTGGGGTCTCGCCCAGTTCCTGCCCACCCACAGGGCACACAGCTGAGGCCCCAGCCTCCTCACTGGGGGCTGAGGCTGGGAGTGGAAGCCCCTGATGGTCTTGGAGGACACCGTCCCAGCCAGGGCACCACCATCGGTCTCTCATCCAAAGCCCTGGAATGTCTATGGGCCAATCAGCAGAGTCTCCAGGGGCTCCCTGAGGGTGCTAATAATCCTGCAATGATTAGCAGGGGCCAGGGGGTCAGCGCACACTGCTCTGCCTGCTGTCGGTGGGGCGGGCTGGCCAGCTCTGAGGCCGGGGCAAAGAGGCGTCCTGGGAAGCTCTTTTCATGCCAGCACTGAAGGGAGGCTGTTTGGACACACTGATTACTCATCAGCCTCCCCCTTTTGTCTGCCAGCCCAGCCTGACTCCTCGAGGTTGTGAATAGCTCCATCCAGTCTGGAAGCGAGCTGGACGGCTGAGCCGGGCCATGCTCCCAGTGCCTAACAGGCCCATTCCTCGGCCAGAGCCCTGCCCGGGGCTGGGAGGCCGGGGCCGCCAGCCTGGCCTCCTCCCAGTGTTCCTGGTTCTGCTTGGCATGGCCTGGGCAGAGGTGAGGCTGCAGCAGCCGCAGGAGCAAGCTCCAATGCCCGGAGGTAAGGGACACCTGAGAGAGGCCAGAGGCAGGGGAGCCGTGTGAATTTCGGGAAGGGGACTTGCACAAGCCAGGCCCTGGGCCGCCCTGGGGTGATTTAACCAGGGACCCACCCGGAAAGTTCAGCAGTCAGGATGCACGGATGGCTGGGGAGGGAGGCGAACGAAGCGGGTGGGCCTGGGATCGGGGTCAAGGAGTATCGGCTGGAGCCTGCATCAGAGGCCCCGCAAGAGACTCAACGGCCCAGAAGGTCCTGGGCAGGGAGCTGCGGCAAGCCCAGCCCCAGCCCCTTTGCTCCAACCCCCAACCCCAGCACTCAGTCCAAGCACTGTCTTACTGAGTCTCTCCATCTCTCATTCGCCCTCCATCTCTGTGCTCTGCTCTCCACCCCCACCCCCACCCCAGACTCCCATCTTAGGTCTCCTTTCCTAAAGGCAGGTGCACTTTAGGAACGGGTGCCATGGGGACGGGTGCAGGGTCTAGCCGCGCCCGCAGCCCAGCCTTTTCTCCCTGGCTCCAGGCCTGAGCAGGAAGGAAAGCTTCTTGCTCCTCTCCCTGCACAACCGCCTGCGGAGCCGGGTCCAGCCTCCTGCGGCCAACATGCAGAGACTGGTGAGTACCCACCCCCGCGCCCCAGCAGCAGGGCAGGGCGGGAGGGGACAGCAGTCACCGAGCCCACAGCAGGATGGGGGCCCTGATGGCTGGGGGCTCTGCCACTTCCTCCTCCCCAAGGGGCTCAGAGCTCAGGCCCCTTTGGCTGCCTCGGGCCTTCCCTGGCTTCCCGTTGCCATGGAGATCAGGAGCTGTGGATGGAGCTCACAAAGGAGCCAGCAGGATGGGAGGGACAGGGGACAAGGAGGGAGAAGCCTCCTGCTGGGCTGGGACAGCCTTCTGTGTGGCCAGGACCCAGTGCTCCTTCCTGGGTGTATCTGGACAACCAGGAGGGAACCCTCCCAAGTTCCCTACTCATCCTTGCTTGCATGGCAGAAGCAGGGGGTGTAGGGTTTTGCACCATCCCATGGGGCTGCGGAGTTGGGGCTCACTGACTCTGGCCCCAGACTTGGGATCTCAGCAGTCCCAGCTGGGTTAACCGGCTAGGGAGGGAGGTCAGGACCATGTGGGGGCCGGCAGGGTTCCCCATGGCTGCCTCGCATAAACTCCTCCAAGGCTGGCGGCCACAGAGGTGACCTTGAGAGCTCTGGGGTCAGTTTCCCAGGAGGTGGGGGTGGGGCAGCCAGGAGGACGGTTACTTCTCCCCCGCTTTGCCTGCCCTTCCTCAGCCAGGGTGCTCCCAGCTGTGACACCTGGCGTGGGGTTCTCCTGCAGGGGATGCTGGGACCAGTGTGGCAGTGCGCCCTTGTCTAAGCTGCAGAAAACCCTGCTTTGCAAGACAGCGCCACTGAGGGCGCTCTGCTACCTCCCTCTGTGCTGCCTCTGGGGCTCCCAGCACTCATGCCCTGCTCACAGCGCAGACTGGAGACCCAGGCCCACAGGCTGGTGGCGGCTGCTGTGGGGCCCCAGGGAGACCCCCACTCTCGCCCACCAGTAGTGAAACCACATCACGGGATAGCCTGCTGAGGGTCCAGCCCCGAGCAGGGCACCTTCCTCCCAGCATTCGTTTAATCACAATCATCTTAGCCGGTAGGCACCTTGCTGTCCCATGTTACAGATGAGGACGGTGAGTATCGGAGCTGAGGCGACGGCTGGAGGTCACACAGCTGGACTGAGCGGGTGGAGGTCAGCTGCTGTATTAGGTGGGGAGCGCAGACATGGCAGCTCCTGAGAATTCTGTTCACCGGGACCACAGAGCTGGGGCCCAGGAGACCTCTCCCACCCCTGGTTCCCACTGGGGCCCCTACAGACTCCCATCCTAGGGGCGGGGCACAAAGGCAGCAGGGAGTGACACAGCACATCGAGGGAGGGACATTGCCAGTGAATGGCGCTTCACTCTTAGCCAAACACAAAACCGTGGCAAGGCTTGGTTGCTGCCCAGGGCTCACACCCGCAGGTGGGAAAGAAAAGGCACAAGCCCCTCCCATCACTAACCCTCCCCCCCCGCCCCCCAGCCTGTTCTGTTACTGAGCAGGGCCTAAGGATTCAGGAAGGAGGAAGCTCTGCCCTGGGTGTGGCCAGGCTCAGACACCACCTGCGCTTTCCCACACACCTTGGAGAGCCCCTGACGGGTCCTGCCTGGGCTTCCCTGGCCCCATTTCAGGGACAGCGATTGCTCAGAGGGTGAGGCAGCCAAGCAGGACTCCCGTGCAGTGCTCTCCCTCCACATGACCCGGCACCCATGGGAACTCCAAGACAACGAGGGAGTCAGATCACGGAGGCCAGGCCCACGGGTCTCATTCTTCACACTAACAACTCCCGCTGATGTCTCCATGTGTGCTACCCCCAGGACTGGAGCGAGAGCCTGGCCCAGCTGGCTCAAGCCAGGGCAGCCCTCTGCGGCACTGCGGCCCCCAGCCCAGCGCCGGTCCCACACGTGGGCTGGAACGTGCAGCTGCTGCCCAGGGGCTCGGCATCCTTTGTCCAAGTGGTCAGCCTGTGGTTCGCCGAGGGGCAGTGGTACAGCCACGCAGCAGCCGAGTGTGCCTACAATGCCACCTGCACCCACTACACCCAGGTGAGTGTGTCAGAGGCCAGGCCAGGACACCAGCTCCCAGGTCCTGGTGCCGGCTGGGTCATCCCAAAAGAGGCTATGGTCTGTCCTAAATTTTCCTCCAAATTGTTTAGTTTTGCTTTTTCCAACTTTAAGTATCCATTATGTCACACACAAATTTAAAAATGGACCTCGTCTGATCCACTACCTAGATGTAGATGCTACTAAACTCCTGCCCATTCCCTCCCACCCCTCCTAAGAGGGGACATCCTGAAGGTCAAGTGTATCACTCCCAAGCAAATTTCCTTATTTCCTTTCTTCAACATACATTTGCTGAGTGTCAGCCATTAAGTCCGTGGCACTGTTGAGGTGCGAGGTCGGCCAGAGCACTGTAAAAGAAACCAGCTGCAAGCGGGCTTTCATATCACCACTCCTCGTCCACAGGCCTCGCAGCTTTTCCGCCTGCGCAGATGGGCTGTACTTTTAAACCTTCCGTGAAGGCTCTCTCCACGTGTGTCCTTTCGCACGCTGTGAATGTCACGCCAGACCGCGCTGTAAGATGTATTCTGGTCCACAAAGGCCAGCATCCAGCTTAGCGCCACATTTTTACCAGTACAAGGCACCCTGCGATACTCAAGTCCTATCGCTGGGCCTCTTGTGCACGTGTCCGGTTTCTCTGGAGAGACTCAGAAGGGACCAGCTGGTCATACACAGTATGCACCTGCAACTCTGCCGGGCACTGCCAATGTGGACACCCCAGCTGCCCAAACCTGCAAACCAGACCCCAAGCTCTGTCAGCCTCCTTACTTTCTGCCTATCTCAAGGGTACGAAAACCTCACTCTGTTTGTGATTGGCACCTCCCTGAATACCTGTTCCATTGGTTATCTGTTCATAGCCTTTGCCCATATCTTAAAATCTTTTAACAACTCATTTATTCATTTCATATGAACGGCAGAGACAGGCAGACAGCTCTTCCATCTGCCAGCTGACTCCCCAGATGCCAACAACAGCCAGGCCAAAGCTGAAAGCTCAGAACTCAAGGCAGGTCTCTCATGGGGGCGGCACGGACCTGACTACCTGAACCGTCACTGCTGCCTCCTAGGGTCTGCATCAGCAGGAAGCTGGAATCAGGAGCCTCCAGTGTGGGAGGGCTGGGACCTGGGAGCAGCTTAAGCACTGGTCAAACGCCCAGCCTCCCCCTTTTTTTTTTTTTTTTTTTTTTTTTGACAGGCAGAGTGGACAGTGAGAGAGAGAGACAGAGAGAAAGGTCTTCCTTTGCTGTTGGTTCACCCTCCAATGGCAGCCACGGCCGGCGCACCATGCTGATCCGATGGCAGGAGCCAGGTACTTATCCTGGTCTCCCATGGGGTGCAGGGCCCAAGCACTTGGGCCATCTTCCACTGCACTCCCGGGCCACAGCAGAGAGCTGGCCTGGAAGAGGGGCAACCGGGACAGAACCCGGCGCCCCGACCGGGACTAGAACCCGGTGTGCCAGCGCCGCAAGGCGGAGGATTAACCTAGTGAGCCACGGCACCGGCCCCAGCCTCCTTTCTCAACCTGAGGTTGTCGTTCTGCCCAGGACTTTGTGTATGGTGTGACATAAGGACTTAATTCCATCTTGGGTACCTTCTGCTGAGTATTCGGTGTTTTCCCCGCTGATGGGTGACGCCCTCAGAATCCATAGCCACACAGCTCTGTTGCTGAGCTCTCTGTTCCATTGTGTTGGCCTTTTTGTTGATCCCTGCACAAATTTTGTTTTAATGATTATGGCTCTGGGCCCAGCGCTGTGGTGCAGTATTTTTTTAAACCTCCATCTGCAGTGCCAGCGTCCCACACAGGTACCAGTTTGAGTCTCAGCTGCTCCACTCGATCCAGCTCTCTGCTATGGCCTGGGAAAGCAGTAAAAGATGGCCCAAGTCCCTGGGCCCCTGCACCAGTGGGAGACCTGGGAGAAGCTCCTGGCTCCTGGCTTCAGGTCAGCCCAGCCCCAGCCGTCACGGCCATCTGTGAGTGAACCAGTGGGTGGAGTACCTCTTTCTCTGTCTCACTCTGTCTTTAACTCTGCTTCTCAAATAAATAATCTTAAGAAAAAAACTATTATGACTTTATAAAAAGTTTTGACAGGAAAATCCTCACATTATTATTGTTCTTCAAAAATTTCAGTTATTCATGGCTCTTGATTAAAAAAACCTTTTCCAAGTTACAAACATTTCCTTCTAATCTGAGTCTGCTAAGCATTTTTTTTAAAGATTTCTTTATTTATTTGAAAGACAGAGTTACACAACAAGGGAGGGAGAGACAGAGAGGTTTTCCATCTACTGGTTCACTCCCCACATGGCCACAACAGCTGGGGCTGGGTCAATCCAAAACCAGGAGCCAGGAGCTTCTTCCAGGCCTCCCACACAGGTACAGGGGCCCACACACTTGGGCCACCCTCTACTGCCTTCCCAGGCACATCAGCAGGGAGCTGGATCGGAAGTGGAGCAGCCGGGACTCAAACCAGCACCTACATGGGATTCTGGCACTGCGGGGCTGCAGCTTAACCCTCTATGCCACAGGGGTGCCCCCTGTTAAGCGTTTTTTAAATGACTGGGCCTGCATTTGATCTAACACCTCCTGCCTCTATTCAAGTAATTAGATGATTCTACCTTCACCTGTTAAAGTGATGGAATCTATGAATACTCTGTGTGCGTGTGTGTATGTGTGTGTGTGTGTGTATACACACAGCCGTCACATATCACCAGATCTTCCTGGTCATATATTTTAAGCATTTTATTATAGAAAGTTTCAAACATAAAAAGTGGTCAGAATGGTATAATGAACTTCCAGTTTAACAATTACCACCTTGTGGCTTTAGCTGTATCCCTGCCTAGTTCCCTCTCCTCATCATTTTAAGCACATTTCAGACATTGTATCATTTTATCCATAAAACCTTAAATGTATATCTCTAAAATATAGCTCTTTTTTAAAAAGAGTGTAACCACAGTCCCAACATTCATTTTTTAAATGTTAACCCTTTCTGCATTTCTACTTGCACAGCTGTAATTCAATTATGCCCAATACACTATGACAGGTCCCCAAATATTAAAATACGCAGGTATTAGAAGCAAGAGCTGCTACCTCGAGTTCCCAAACAGAGCTGGCCAAGCTTCTTCCCAGGGGCCCCTTGGATGTTGCCCGTGATCTGGAAGCAAGGGGTTAATGCCTGGCGCAGCAGTGGTCTCCATGGGCCCGTGCTCCTGCCCAGGATCCGCTCTAATTGGCAAGTACCCCAGCCCTACTGGTTAAATATTTCTGAATGCCTGCCTACTTGGTTCATCACATGATATGCAATAATGTGATGCAGGATTGTGTGTGTGTGTGTTGCTTTAAATTCATTGCTGGATTTGATATGTAAGTTACTACTGGTATTAGAATTACCTTTAATTTTTTTTTTTTTGTTGTTCCTACTGCCCTTATGTGGGGGTATAGCAATGCCACACTGACTGTGCAAAGTGAGTTGGAGTTGTTAGCTTCATTGCCTATTTGGAACAATTTCTATATTTGCTATTCCTCTCCTATAAAACTGGCCCTTCCTTGACTTTTTTGTTTGTTTGGGCTGTGTGTGTATGTTCACATGTGAATGGATTGTATCTACTGATCCAGCTATTTCTTCTTGAGGCAGTTTTGACACGTTCTATTTTCTAGGTAATTATCCACTCCATGTTTTCTTTTTTTTTTTAATATTTATTTATTTTAAAGTCAGAGTTACACAGAGAGAGAGAGAGAGAGAGAGGTCTTCCATTCACTGGTTCACTCCCCAATTGGCTGCAACGACTGGAGCTGTGCCGATCAATCCGAAGCCAGGAGCCAGGAGCTTCTTCCGGGTCTCCCACATGGGTGCAGGGGCCCAAGGACCTGGGCCATCCTCCACTGCTATCCCAGGCCATAGCAGAGAGCTACATTCCATGTTTTCTAACTTATTGGTCATGATTATTCATTATTTAACAGAGACTTAGAGTTAAACCAAGATTGCTGAACATCTTGACTGTATCTGCAGCTATGTCCCTTGTTGTCGCTCCCCCTCTTCGTGGAGGAATGACACTAAACCCTGCCTAGGCTTCATATCCGAGTCACGGCACCATTATGTTGCTCCCCGTCTTCGTGGAGGAACGACACAGGACCCTGCGCTGTTCTTTCGTCTGCTCGGCCCTCCCCGGGTTTGCTGCTGGTTCTTCCCGGGTTGGCTACCGGCCCTTCCACCTCCGTGGAAGGGCGGTTCCCCCTGCCACATTCCCCACTTCCGCAGGGGAGCAGCACACCGCCGGCCGGCTCTCTCGGGGGCTGCACAGGTGTTCCCCTTAGATGTTCCTGGTGCATGCCGTCTCTCTCCTCCTTTATAGTCCTCCTCCGCCAATCCTAACTCGGCTGCCCACACGCCGAGTACGCTGCTCTCCTCCAATCAGGAGCAGGTCCTGCAGCTTGTCAAGTTGGTGAGAGGCAGCTGGGTAGAAGCTGTTGCCTCCTCTCCCAGCGCCATATTGTGGGAGAGCAGATGCATAGAATAAGTCTTAATTCCAGTAACTCAGTCCAGTCCAGGTTGCTCCCCACACTTGTGAGTTCCCAGTACTGGGGTAAGCATTCTGCCACTTCAGGTAAAGCTGCTGCTCCGGACGCCCACATCCCATGCAGGCACACTCGGGGTCAAGTTCAGACTCTCCTGCTAGTGCACGCCCTGGGAGCGGTAGATGATGGCGCAAGTGCCTGGGTCCTTGCTACCCATGTGGGAGTACCAGACAGAGTTCCTGGCTCCTGGTTTCAGCCTGGCCTTGGCTATTGCAGGCATTTGGGGAGTGAACTAGTAAATGGATCTCTGTTGCTCTCTGTCACTCCACCTTTCAAATAAATAAGTCAAATTTTAAAAAAGTCTCAGTATTGATTATTTGTGCCTTCTCTCTTGTTTTTTACCAATCTTCCTAGAGGTTTGTCTATTTTATTAGTATTTTCAACAAATCAGCTTTGTGTTAGTGTTCTTTTCATTCTTTTTCATCTTTATTTCATTAATCTCACCTCTTTATATCATTTTAAAAAATAGTATATTTATTTATAAGACCGAATTACAGAAAGAGCGAGATAGAGATCTTCTATCTGTGGGCCCATGCCCCAAATGGCAACAATGGCTAGGGCTGGGCCAGGCAGAAGCCAGGAGCCAGCAGCTCCCTCTAGATCTCCTACATGGGTGCCAGGGCCTTACACGGGGATGGTTCAAGTGCTTGGGTCCCTGTCATCCACATGGGAGTCCTTGGTGGAGGTCACAGCTTCAACCTGGCCCAGTCCCAGCCTAGGCCTGACTGTTGTGGGCATTTGGGGAGTGAACCAGGAGACAGAGGCCCTCTGTCTCCTCTCTGCCTCTCAAAAAATAAAAATGAAAAATGAAACAGTGGGCTATGGCGAGAAGTCACAGCCATCTTTGCAATCAATCACAAGACCGTGACATCCACATCCTTCTTTTGCCATCCTCCCCCACCACCCATAACCTTTAACCCTCACCCTCTGACCCCTCCACTCAGACAGCCTTCCTATCCCTAGCCCTGCCCTGCCCAGCCACTGCTCCTGAGGCCCTCAGGGTGGGTAAGGAAGCTGTCCCTCTGCCTGAATGGTGACAAAAGTCATGTCTTCCCATCTCCTGGCGTGCATGGCCTGTACCACTGAACCTCGGATTTGGAGTAGGGGTAGTCTGTGATAGGGTTTCTGAGCCACTGCATCTCTTGCAGCTCGTCTGGGCCACCTCAAGCCAGCTGGGCTGTGGGTGGCATGCGTGCTCTGTGGATCAGGTGGCGATGGAAGCCTTCGTCTGCGCCTATGCCCCCGGGTAAGTTCCTAGGACCGCCGGGTTGTCAGTGTGTCGCTCCCCCTCTTCATGGAGGAACGACACTAAGCCCTGCCTAGGCTTCATATCCGAGTCACGGCACCATTATGTCGCTCCCCCTCTTCATGGAGGAACGACACTAAGCCCTGCCTAGGCTTCATATCCGAGTCACGGCACCATTATGTCGCTCCCCCTCTTCGTGGAGGAACGACACAGGACCCTGCGCTGTTCTTTTCGTCTGCTCGGCCCTCCCCGGGTTTGCTGCTGGTTCTTCCCGGGTTGGCTACTATCCCTTCCACCTCCGTGGAAGGGCAGTTCCCCCTGGCCGCATTCCCCACTTCCGCAGGGGAGCGGCACACCGCCGGCCGGCTCTCTGGGGGGCTGCACGGGTGTTCCTTCAGCTAGATGTTCCCCATAGATGTTCCTGGTGCATGCCGTCTCTCTCCTCCTTTATAGTCCTCCTCCGCCAATCCCAACTCGGCTGAGTACGCTGCTCTCCAATCAGGAGCAAGTCCTACAGTTAATTGGTTGAACTGGAGGCAGCTGTGCGGAAGCTGTTTACTTCTCTCCCAGCGCCACATTGTGGGAGAGCAGATGCATAGAATAAATCCTAATTCGAGCAACTTAGTCTAGTCCGGATTGCTCCCCACAGATCCCCCTTTCTTTTTATTTTTTGGCGTTGATACGCGCCTGTCTTCGGTGTCCCGCAGCACACACTCTGCTGTACTTGCTAGAGTTGCCACAGGCTCTTACAAGTCCTATCAATCAGGAAAACCGAATCCGGGTCCTCTCTTCGCCATTGTGAGGAGGTTTTTAGGCGCTGATGCGTGCCTGTGTTCGGTGCCCTGCAGCGCATGCTCTGCTCTGCTAGAACTGCCTGCAGGTGTTTACAAAACCTATCAGGCAAACCGAATCCAAGCCTTCTCATTGCCGTATTGTGGGGGAGACTTATTAGTGTTGGTTTGTGCCTATCTTCGGTGACCTGCAGCTCATACTCTGGTCGAGCTTTGCTGGCGCTTACCGCCTTAAATCAGGCAGACCGAATCCAAGCCTCCTAATTGTTGCATTGTGGGGAAGCTTTACTGATGTTAATTCGTGCCTGTCTTCGGTGACCTGTGGCTAGCCGCCCAGGTGCTCACCGCCTCACTAATCGGGCAGACCGAATCCAAGCCTTCTAATTGGCATGTTGAGGGGAGGCCTTATTTCTCTCTATTTCTCTATCTCCGGGCATTCCTATTTCTCCCATTTTACTTCTATCTTCCAGCATTCCTATTTCTCTCACTTAACTTCTAAAACTTCTGTTTCTCTTATCCCCGCAGCTTCCCGGCACCTCGCCCCGCCGGCGGGTTCCCGGCTCTGCGCCGCTTCAGCCCGCGCGCCTCTCTCATCTGCGCAGCTTCCCGGCTTTGCGCAGCTCGGCTTTGCGCGCTCCGCGGTCTCCACGCTTAACCCTTTCGCGTCTGAACCACGGCCTACGCCAGCGTTCCCTATCTATTCACGCCCCGTGCTCTCTCTGCACGCGGCGGCTTCCGCGAGTAACACAGCGTAGCTTGCGTCTCCACCACTAGGATTCAATCTAAGTTCCCCGGGCTAGCCTAGCGAATTCAACCCAGCGTACGTCTCTGCCCCACGGTTTGGCTTCCCGTCCTTTGCTCCCCGGGCTAATCAGACGGATCCCAATCTGGCTTACGTCTCAGCTTCTGGTTTTAACTTTTCGCCCCCTATTCCCGGGCTAACTTGAGAACCCCAAAGTGGCTTTCGTTTCCGCCTCGGCCTGCCCCCCGCGGCTTCAATTTCCCCAACATTTCTCTCCACCCGGCATGCTTCCCCAAGCTTTCCTCCAACGATATTCCTCCCTCATTTCTCCTGGCCTCTCCCCACAGTCCGCGTCCGAGTCTGTTTGTTCTAGCTTTCACTTTCGCTTTCGACCTTAAAGATTTCTCCCAGCTTCCCCACGTAGTCCATATCCGAGTCTATGCCTAGGCTTTCAACAGCTTCTTCCGGCACCCTTTTCGTCCGGCTTTTCCCTAGGCTGTTTGCTAGTCTCTCTCTCCGATATTTTCCCTAGTTCTTCCCGCTTCTTCCCTCCTAAGTTTCATATCCGTCCTAGGTTTCCTATCCGAGTCACGGCACCATTATGTCGCTCCCCCTCTTCATGGAGGAACGACACTAAGCCCTGCCTAGGCTTCATATCCGAGTCACGGCACCATTATGTCGCTCCCCCTCTTCATGGAGGAACGACACTAAGCCCTGCCTAGGCTTCATATCCGAGTCACGGCACCATTATGTCGCTCCCCCTCTTCGTGGAGGAACGACACAGGACCCTGCGCTGTTCTTTTCGTCTGCTCGGCCCTCCCCGGGTTTGCTGCTGGTTCTTCCCGGGTTGGCTACTATCCCTTCCACCTCCGTGGAAGGGCAGTTCCCCCTGGCCGCATTCCCCACTTCCGCAGGGGAGCGGCACACCGCCGGCCGGCTCTCTGGGGGGCTGCACGGGTGTTCCTTCAGCTAGATGTTCCCCATAGATGTTCCTGGTGCATGCCGTCTCTCTCCTCCTTTATAGTCCTCCTCCGCCAATCCCAACTCGGCTGAGTACGCTGCTCTCCAATCAGGAGCAAGTCCTACAGTTAATTGGTTGAACTGGAGGCAGCTGTGCGGAAGCTGTTTACTTCTCTCCCAGCGCCACATTGTGGGAGAGCAGATGCATAGAATAAATCCTAATTCGAGCAACTTAGTCTAGTCCGGATTGCTCCCCACATCAGTGGGGCTGGGTGGGATCCTTTCTCTTAGGGCGAGACACACCCAAAGGGCCTCTTTACATCTCAGTCTGCATCCTTGGTGGGAGAAGAAAGAAGCAGAATGGGAGAGGATGCAGGAGATTCTGGCCATGGACTCCTTCATGGATGCCCCTTCCTGGAAGCCTGGCCCTAGATTTTGAAAGTTTGCCCAGGGTTAGGCTGGAGACCCTGTCTCCCTTGGCTCCCTGACACCCTTGACTGGGCCAGAGGAGCCAAAGGGGCCAGCGAGGCAGGCAGCGAGTCCCTGGCCATGCCTTGTCCAAGGTCAGGCCCTGCCAGCCCCTCTGGTGCTTGCTCCCACAGAGGCAACTGGGAGGTCAACGGGAAGACCATCAGCCCCTATAAGAAGGGCGCCTGGTGCTCGCTCTGTACGGCCACCCTCTCCGGTTGCTTCAAAGCCTGGGACCACGAAGGGGGGCTCTGTGGTAAGTGCTCCCCCCTGCTCATCCCCTTTGGGGCAGCAGGCGCATGAGGGATTGGGCTGGTGGTCGCGGGGTGGGTCTTGCATCTTGAACAGCTGTTCCCAGGCCCTCAGCGCTCTGGGAGGAGGCCCCTTCTCAGAGCTCCCTCCTCACCTGCCCAGAGGTCCCCAGGAATCCATGCCGCGTGAGCTGCCGGAACGGCGGACAACTCAACACGAGCACCTGCCGCTGCCACTGTCCCCCTGGCTACACGGGCAGATACTGCCAAGGTGAGGAGCACTGGCGTTCCCGGCCACACCTGTGTGGGAGACCCAGTGCACACAGAGACAGCCTGGAGGGGTGAGGAGGGAGGCCAAGCACACACCTGCTGCCAGGTGTGCCCCGGGGCCAGGACACCAAGTGCATGAAGGCCTCGAGGGCGCTGACCATGTACTTGCCGGCTCTGCACTCTGCATGCATTCAGTGAACAAGCGTCCACGGCATGCAGGCTGTCTGCCAGACCCTGGGCTACACGGGGGATCCAAAGTGGAATCCAATAGGGCCCCTTAGGCTCCAGGACTGGGGGAAGAAGGTGGATCCTTTCCCACTGCCCCCACCCACCTACCCTGATCAGTTACCACAGGCAGGTGACCGCCCACACCCTACTTTGCTTCTCTCTATAATGGGCATCAAAGACAACACACATGGCAGCACCAGAAGCCCTGGTGGGCTTCGTCTCTGAGCAGGGAGTTCTTGCTGTGGTGGGCCTCTCCCAGATGCTCAAGGCCTGTAGGGGGCAGCACAGGGGCTGCAGGGTGGGTGCTGAGTGCACTGTTCTGTCTTGGCAGTGCGGTGTGGTGTGCGGTGCGTGCATGGCCAGTTCCGGGAGGAGGAATGCTCCTGCGTCTGCCAGGTCGGCTACGGCGGAGCCCAGTGTGCCAGTGAGTCCTGCCCCAAGGCCCCTGCCGAGCCGCTTCCCATCTCTTCCTGCCTCCTCGCTCAATGCCATCACATCAGGAATTTGAAGATGGCCTGGCGGTGGGGAGGGAGGCATTTACACCACAGAAATTGGCAAATGCCAGAAACCAGGGACTGCTTTTTTAAAGTGATTGAACTCACTCATATTTCTACCAGCACGCCCCTGATGCACACGCACTCTCCACTCCGCAGCCTGCAGCAGGTAGTCAGAGGAGGGGGCACTTTGAGCTTAGCCCCCTGGCACAGCAGGAGAGGGTCATGATTCCAAGATCCACACACAAACTCAGGCTCCCTCCCCCCCAGCCAAGGTGCACTTTCCCTTCCACACCTGTGACCTGAGGATCGATGGAGACTGCTTCACTGTGTCTTCGGAGGCAGACACTTATTACGGAGCCAAGATGAAATGCCAGGTGATGGCTGACCCCTGCCTTCCCAAAGACGCCAGGATCTCAAGCAAGGGTCTTCACAGAGGGCCCCTGCACTGACAGATGGGTCCTCTGATTTCTGATCCCATTCGCTTCAGAAGGAGAAATCAATGGTCACAGAGAGTCAGAGGCCCAGAAGCCAGAGGGTCACTTACTGACCCGACAGGCCCAGGGCCCAGCCCCATCCTGCTTCTACCTAAGGGAGCTGTTCTGATGGACGGGGCTCTAGCTGCGGCTGGCCGCCCCGCAGGAATGCGAGCTCAGGGTGGCCAGAACCCAGGGGTCTCATGGGAACCGGAGATGCCCGTGTCTATTCACGGATGCTGGCAATCAACTTAGATGTATTCAACACACTGTGCAGGACGAACAAAACCCTTCTGAGAGTACAACCTGGCCTGGGCCCGTGGGCTCCCAGTTGGGCCTCTGAGCAGAGAGAGAGGAGAAGCAGGCAGGGCAGGGGAAGGGGATCCTCCCCCCGCCCCACAGCCCAAGCTTAGAGGCAGGAGGCTGTCGGGGGTGGGGCTGATGACAGCCTGGCCATTCGTGGCCGTGGTGGAGCAACAGGGTGGGCACAAAGGGCTGGCTCAGGCTCTGGGGGCCCTGCCAGTGTGACCCGGGTGGGAGTTACAGGAACAGGGTGGCGTGCTAGCCCAGATCCAGAGCCAGAAAGTGCAGGACATCCTCGCCTTCTACTTGGGCCGCCTGGAGACCACCAACGAGGTGACCGACACCGACTTTGAGACCAGGAATTTCTGGATTGGTGAGTGGCTGACCGGTTGGAGCTATGGTGAGTGCCGCAGCCTGTGCTGAGGCGACCTGGGAACCACCGGCTGGGGGGAGGCAGGGAGTGAGGGCTTGGCAGGCGGGGCCAACAGTCAGGCTGCCAACCCCTCCCGGAGGAGGAGGAGGGAAGGGGGATCACCAGGGGCTCTGGGGGCGCTGGGAAGAGTCTAGGGGTTGGGGTCAGAAAGACTCCAGGCAGCAGGCACGAGCCCGCTTCTCAGGGTCACTGGGCTCAGAGTGGGGCCCAGGTACGGCTCTCAGGCGATGGGCCAACCCTGGCTACCCCGGCCCAGGGCTCACCTACAAGACCGCGAAGGACTCCTTCCGCTGGACCACGGGGGAGCACCACTCCTTCACCAGTTTTGCCTTCGGGCAGCCTGACAACCAGGGGTGAGTCTGGGGTGCCCTCCCTCCCCGGGCCGCTTGGCTGAGCCTCACACCCCACTGAAGAGCCGCCACCCAGCCTCACCTGGTACCCAGGTGCAGGGAAGTCTGGGCCCAACCGGCGTGGGCACGACGCTGAGGGGAGGGAGATGCGGATAAGCAGGAACACCCCACAGGAGAGAGGGAACTCCAGAAGGCTTCAGCCATCTCTCTGTCCCCACTGTCCCCTCGGCTATGCCTCCTTTCCCTAAAGCCGCTATCCACTCGCCTCCCTGCACTGCCCCACCTGTGCTATGCCTGGACCAACACCTGGGTCTGGGCATTCCTCAGCCACCTGCTCACCTATGCCATTCAGGCACACATCCACCCTATATCGAGGACCTAGATTCCTGGTTTCCAAAACCCAGGAATGCTGGGGCAAGGGGTGGCAGGAGTGGAAGGGCTCAGGCTCTGTGGCCACCAGGGGCTCCAAATATCTGGCCCCTCCTTGCTGGCAGCCAGGCCTGTGTCCCTGGCCCACCATCTAGGAAGTCCACCCTCCCTTCTAGGATGAAAGACATGGCCCATCTGTTCCAGGTCTGGCCCTGCCACCTGGCGTGTGCTGTACTGGGGGCTGGGAGGGGGTCTGTCCAGCCCTGCTGGCTAAGCTGAGAAGCAGTGCAGTGATCTGGGAGCAGCACCAGGGCTTGGGGGTGGATCTGGAACCCTGGGCTGCAGCACTGGGCCTCCCAGATGCAGATGGCCCCTCGAGGGTAGAGGATTTACAACTGACCCAGACTCCTAACTTCATTCCTCCACCCTGAACACCTGACATCCTGGCCGAGCAGGTTTGGCAACTGTGTGGAGCTGCAGGCCTCAGCTGCTTTCAACTGGAATGACCAGCGCTGTAAAACCCGAAACCGTTACATCTGCCAGTTTGGTAAAACCTGAAGCCATCATAACTGTCCCTCTCCTCTGGTCCCTGTCTCCTGGGGTACTGCTGGCTTGCTCCGGGCTGCGAGGATATAGAAGTCACAGGCCCAGTGTGTCTGAGAACACAGGGCCTTGTGTGTGCTGATGCCCAGGGCTCATAATCAAACAGCAAATGCACACAGAGGTGGGACAGCAGCCACACCCCAGCCCGGGGTTTCTCCAAGGCCCCTTTCTTCCCACCATGAAGGCAGCTACCTTGGGACCTGTCGGCTCCCTGACTGCTCAGAGTCCAGTGAGCTACCGCGGAGGGCAGAGGTGAAACCCGGCACCGCACTGGCTCCCAGCAGCACTTGCTGGAGGGAGCTGCCAGAGGGGCACCTCCGGACCCGATGCCCCAGTCCCCTCCCAGGACCGCCTGCGCTGCCACCAACCCTCGCTCTCTTCCTCTTCCTTTCTAGCCCAGGAGCACATTTCCCGATGGGATCCAGGACGCTGAGGCTGCTCCGCCAGGCTGCTCCGCCAGGCTGCTCCGCCAGCCAACCCCCTGGTGCACCAACCCTGCCTGCCTGTCTGCCCGCCTGACTGGAAAAAGGGCCAGCCTCGGACTGCATCCCAGCATCCAGGGATCTCGGGTCTTGCCCCACGCAGGGAGCTGGGCAGGGGGTGGCAGTGAGGCCAGTGGGGATGGGGAGTGGGTGCTAGAAGAGTCTGGCGGGGGCGAGGACAGCCTGGGGTCCCCGACTGGAAGGTGGGCTTCAATCAGGGGCCGCAGCAGCAGAAGCCAGGGTCAGCAGTCCGAAGAAACCGCCCTCCTCCATCTGGGCCAAGCTGCCCGGGTCAGCTGCACCCCGCCCCCCCCCGGAGGATTAAACTAAGTTATGGATCAACACCAGCCTCGCAAATGCTCATTTTGAAGGGGGGTGGGTGGGTGGAATACAGATTGGTCTCCAGCTCATCAGACGCGGTGTAATAACACTTGACACCTGTTAAACACCTGCCGTTTATCAACGCTCACACGTCCTCCCTGAGAGCAGAGATTCCTACAGCCATTCTACAATTAAAGAAACGGGAGCAGAGAGGTCGAGTAACTTGCCCTGGTTCACACAGCTGGGAACCAATCCCAGTCTGGCCTTCCTGAGCCTCTCCATTCTCCGTGGCGCCGTCAGCCTGTTCAGCCGGAGACGCACGGCAAGGTCTTCGGTGCCGTGGCTCAGGGCGCTCAACCATATCAACTATCCAAAAGGACGAAGCCGGTCCCGACTTCGGCCCAAGGTCGCCGGCGAAGAGCAGGCCTCAGGGGTGGAGGCTGGCCTGACACTCACCTGCTGCCCCGTGGGCGCTGGGAGAGCAGGCCCTTGTGTGATGCCGTAGAACCTCGCCTGCAGCAGCTGTGCGCCGCGTAGCGCACCTCCGCCGGCCCCGCGCGCCAAGCAGCGGCCACCAGCCAGCCGGGCAGCGGCCAGGTGTGCGCGCGTGTCCTTTGGGGAGCCAGGCCCGCGCACGCGCAGCTGTGGAGCCTGAGGCCGCGGCCACTGCAGCCCCCGAGGCCCCGCCCCTCGAGCCCCAGGCCCCGCCCCCGAGGGTGCTCCCAGCCCGCGAGGACACCCTCCAAGGTGACAAGGAGTTGGGGCTGTGAGCCCTGGCACCGGCGGGGCAGCCGAGCCCAGATCGCGAATCCCATCCGGGCGCCCAGTGGGTGTGTGGCAGGCAGGTGTCGTGGCCCCTCAGTTCCAGGCAGCGGGCGCGGGAAGACTGGGGGTCCGCAGGCCGTGCTCGGAGAAACCGAGGAATGCGCCGGTCCCCTCGTGATCCTCATGGCCAGAAGCAGCGAGGGGCAGGCGATTGGCCTCAGGGTGTGCGGACTGGGCAAGCTGGGGCATCAAGACGCCTCCTCTGCCGCTCTGTGCCCTTCGGCTCGCTCCCCGGCCTCCCTCTTTCGCACTGCCCCTTGCAGGCTGTGCCACCTGGGGGAGCCCTAACTCCCTCCGTGCTTCTCTTCAGTTATTTCTTCGCTGGCTCTTGCCGGTAAAGACGGGGCGGGGGGGGGGGGTGTCAAAACCTGTTGGTGAGGCAGGCCGTTCGGTCCAGCGGTCAGGACAGCTGAAATTCCATACCGGGGGCCGGCGCCGCGGCTCACTAGGCTAATCCTCCGCCTAGCGGCGCCGGCACACCGGGTTCTAGTCCCGGTCGGGGCGCCGGATTCTGTCCCGGTTGCCCCTCTTCCAGGCCAGCTCTCTGCTGTGGCCAGGGAGTGCAGTGGAGGATGGCCCAGGTGCTTGGGCCCTGCACCCCATGGGAGACCAGGAGAAGTACCTGGCCCCTGCCATCGGATCAGCGCGGTGGGCCGGCCGGATCAGCGCGGTGGGCCGGCCGCGGCGGCCTTTGGAGGGTGAACCAACGGCAGAAGGAAGACCTTTGTCTCTCTCTCACTGTCCACTCTGCCTGTCAAAAAAAAAAAAAAGAAAAAATTCCATACCGGGGTGCCTGGATTCCAGTGCCGGCTCCTCCTGCTCCCTGATCCAGCTTCCTGCTAATGTGTGTCCAGGTCGGTAGCAGGTGATGGCCCAAATAACTGGGTCTTTGTATCTTCTGGGGAGACATGGATTGAGTTCTGGGTTCCTGGCTTTGTCCAAAATGTTGCAGGTATTTGGGCATTTGGGGAATGAACCAATAGATGGGAACTCTCTCTCTCTCTCTCTGCCTAACAACAACGTGTTGGCAACTTGGCAACAGTGACTATTTGTGTTACATTCACTGACTTAAGTCTGGAGAAAACTGAAAGGTAGGGGCCAGCACTGTGGCTTAGCCAAAAGTCACCACCTGTGGTGTGGGTATCCCAGGTGGGCACCAGGTTCGAATCCTGGGTACTCCACTTTCAATCCTGCTCCTTAAAGCAGTGGAAGATGGCCCAAGGATTTGGGCCTCTATACCCACTTGGGAGACCCAGAAGAGCCATTTGGGGAGCAAACCAATGAATGGAAGATCTCTCTCTCTCTCTCTGCCTAATGATAACAACTGAGAAAAATGAAGGAGATCAGGCTACAGTGCACAAGGAGACTCCTCCTGGGATATTTGAGGGAATGCTAGCTCCGCTAAGGGAAATCTGTTCCCCACTCGAGCGCAGAGCAGAAGGGGAACCCGGCTGCCAAGATCTCATTCCTCGCTCTGGTTCATAACTGGTCACACCTAACCGCAGGCCAGGCTGGGGGCTCCACCTAGAGGTGCGCCCTGGAGGAGAGGGATACCGGGAGAAGAGCTAGTGGGTTTCTGCCACCGGGATCTTCAGAGTGACAGAGGATAGCTTTGGCCAGCAAGGGAGCTCCATGAGACCCAGGTGTTTGGCCCAGTCATTAAGCCACCAGGTAGGATGCGAGTGTCCCACACTGGGGTACCTGGGCTCAATTCTCAGCTCCACTCCTGAGTCTACCTCCCCAGTGACCCAGACCCTGGGAGGTAATGGTGATGACCGGGTTCCTCTACTATGTAGGAGACCTGGATTAAGTTTCCAGCCAGATCCAGCTGTTGTGGGAACATGAGAAGTGAACCAGTAGACAGGAGTTCTCTTTCTCCTCTCTCTTTTTTACAGTGTGAGAGAGAAACAGAGAGAAAGGTCTTCCTTTGCCTTTGGTTCACCCTCCAATGGCCGCCGTTCCGATGGCAGGAGCCAGGTGCTTATCCTGGTCTCCCATGGGGTGCAAGGCCCAAGCACTTGGGCCATCCTCCACTGCACTCCCTGGCCACAGCAGAGAGCTGGACTGGAAGGGGGGCAACTGGGACAGAATCCGGCGCCCCGACCGGGACTAGAACCCGGTGTGCCGGTGCTGCATGGCGGAGGATTAGCCTAGTGAGCCGCGGCGCCGGCCTTTCTCCTCTCTTTTTCTGTCCGTCTAGCTCTGCCTTTTGAATTAAAAAAAAAAAAGTCTATGTACCTTCCCATACTGCCCTATTTTAGTGGTCTCTGATCTTCAGTCTTTCCTGTATATAACTCCACCTGACAGTCACTTTGTAGCCATTGGATCAAGCTGTGTGTGTGTGTGTGTGTATTTTTTTTTTTTTTTTTACTCTGTTCGACTCTTAGCTGCCACTAAAATTCTTAGGTTTTCTAACGGTGACTTGAGTCAAGAATTTGGACTTTGAGCTGGTCTTTTTCTCACTTAAGCTGCCAGGTGCTCATGGCACAGCCACCCTGCCTGGCAGATCCTGGCTGCAGTGGGATCTTTGTGTCCTTCTATGCCAGGAGCCTCTGGGTCCCCCAAAGCCCTGCCTTTGATGGGCGCTTTGTTCTCGGGGACTGCAAAGGATTAACTGTCTGCTGTGGCCTGTGATGGCTTCTAGCATCCTGTCCCTTAATGCTAGCTGGATTTTCACTGTCCTCTGGCCACTTCCCAGCCTTAAATGGCCCCTATTTCCTTCAGGGCTTCTTTCTCCATCCACCCATGGCCCTATATTTGTCATCAAGGTTCTCAGTTTTAAGCAAGAGAAACCGATTCTGGCAGTTCTGGGCAGAAAAGGAGTTTGTCACAGACGCTGATGGTTTCCAGGAGCTCTGCAGAGCTCTGAGAATCGGCTCTGGAAGAGCCCACACGGCAGCGCTGTCCTGGAGAAGGCTGAAGGACACTGGTGTGGAGCTAGGAGCTGGGGAGACGGCGAGTGAGTGCTTGGCTTTCGGGAAAAGCACGACACCTGGAGTCGGGCTGAAGCTTGGGACGCCGGCATCCCATGTAAGTGTACCTGGGTCCGGTCGCAGCTTCTCTTCCAATTGCAGCTTCCTGATGGTGTGCACGCTGGGAGGCAGCAAACAATGGCTCAAGTACTTTGCGTGTCACCCATGCAGGGGACCCAGACCAAGTTCCAGGGTCCTGGCTTCAGCCAGCCCAGCCCTGACTGATGTGGGCTTTCAGGGGATGAGCCAGTGATGGATCTGTTTCTCCGTGTGTGTGTGTGTGTGTGTGTGTGCTTTTCTCTCTCTCTCCTTCAAATTTAAACAATGAGAACAAATACATCTGTACAGAAACTAACTGCTGTGGGTAAAAGGCTTCATGACCCTGAGTAAGTCACTTCACTTCCTGGAGCCTCCTGACTCATCTGAGAAGTGTGGAGTAAATGTTTTTACTCCTCATGCCTCGTGGGATTCTTAATTATTTGTTATATTTAAATGGTTTGAAACTTTTTTTTCTAATTGAAAGGCAGAGTGACAGAGAGACAGGAGAGAGATCTTCCCTCCACTGGCTCACTCTGCTAATGACTGAAACAGTCAGGGCTGGACTAGGCTGAAGCCAGGAGCCAGAGACTCTATCTGGTCTCCCACGCGAGTTCCAGGGGCCTAATTACTGGGACCAGCATCCTCTGCCTCCCAGGTACATTAGCAGGAAGCTGCATTCGGAAGCAGAGCAGCCGGGAGTTGAACTGCCACTCAGATACGTGCTGCCGGTGTTTCGGGAACGCCCCCCGCTCATAGGGTTCTCATACCAACGAGTGTAAGGACTTTGGAAAGGATAAACTCTCTACAAACGAGAGGAGCTGCTTCTGCTTATCCTGAGAAGGAATAAGGGAGAGATCTGAATTACAGGGTGAGCCCAGCGTTGCAGGGGACAGGAATAACGGCCTCCATGGTGCAGGTCACAGCCCAGGGCTCCCTGTGGGATCAGCCTGCAGGTGGAGTTGTAGTACTAGGACCATTGTCACACCAGGTCCGGCACTGCCCTCCCCAGTGAACCCTGGGGTGGAGCTTCACCCTGCCAACTCCAGTCCCAGGTCTGCCGTGAGCTTCCAATCGCCATCTTGGGAGAAAAGGGGGCAGGAGCCGCGCCGGGCCCACTGGGGTGGCCTCTCCTGGCCCTGGGGCTGCCAAGAGGAAAACCAGTCATCTCTGGCAGGGACTGAGAAG